CGGAATATACTCTGAGTCATCCCATACATATAGCTGCATTTTACAAGAATAGTCCATTAAAAAGCATTCATACAACTTGAAATGCATTATGTGCAGTAAAACTTCATTATCTGATCAAGCTATTTAGAGTAGTATCGGAGTAACATATTTGTTAAATATTTGATACTCCATCCGTTAGTTAATATTTGTCGAGTATTAGATTTATTTTGTTTGATTTTAAGTTATATTAGTCAGATATTATATTTATTTTATTTGATAATAGATTATATTCGTTAGGTATTAGATTTATTTTGTTTGGTAATAGGATACATTGATCAGGTATTAGATACATTTTGTTTGGTAATATGATACATTAGTCAGGTATTAGATATATTTTGTTTGGTAATAGGATATAATGATCAGGTATTAGATATATTTTATGTGGTAATAAGATATAATGGTCAGGTATTAGATATATTTTGTTTGGTAATAGGATATATTGGTCAGGTACAGTGGCGGAGCCACATTAGAACAAGGGGGGACAGTTGTCCCCCCATTTTCGAAAAAAAAGTTTTTTTTTTTTAAAAAAAAAATCAAGAAAATACAGTAAAAGGCTATAAATATCATATACTTACAGTAAATATCACAATATTGAATATGGTTTGGTGGTTGAGTCCTTAGTAAGGCTGTGTCTTGGTCTTAGGTTCGATTCCCTACTCTACTATTTTTCAGCTTTTTTGTTTTTTTTCCCCTACTTGATTTTTGATTACTCTAATTTTCAATAGTCTTTTTAATTTGATTTTTCATTTTCTATTTCTTGTTTTAGGATTTTTAATTTTATTATGTGCTTAAACTCTATTTTTTTTACATTTCTAATAAATAGATTACTATTAATTAATTGTTTGTAACTGTGTTTTAACTTTTATTAATACATACGAAATACATATGTAATAATATGATTGATTTGAGAAAGTTGAGTTTATTTTTTCGAATGTAACTCAAACCCAGACCCTTCATATCTACCATCAATTTGTTCTAACGATAATTATTTGACTTTATGATAATTATTTGACTTTATGATAAGGTAATTAATTCGTATATATCAATTATGTGATTACATAACGGGATTTACAAACATAAATTTATTCATTTTTGTTGGATAATTTTCTTAATATACAATAAAACTTTTTTATTCCTCTTTTGCCATATAGAAATAATTGGCATATGTGATTTCAAATAAATATTAAACAATTTAGGTGATCAATTTTTTTCTTGAGATTTTTGCCGAAACTTTAACCTCCAAAATTTGTCCCCCCGAATTATAAATCCTGGCTCCGCCACTGGTCAGGTATTAAATTTATTTTGTTTGGTAATAGGATGTATTGGTCAGGTATTAAATTTATTTTGTTTGGTAATAGGATGTATTGGTCAGGTATTAAATTTAATTTGTTTGGTAATATGATGTATTGGTCAGGTATTAGATTTATTTTGTTTGGTAACAGGGTATATTGGTCAGGTATTAGATTTATTTTGTTTGGTAATAGGATATAATGGTCAGGTATTAGATTTATTTTGTTTGGTAACAGGGTATATTGGTCAGGTATTAGATTTATTTTGTTTGGTAATAGGATATAATGGTCAGGTATTAGATTTATTTTGTTTGATAATAGGTATAATTGGTCAGGTATTAGACTTATTGGTAATAGCTATAATTGGTCAGGTATAAGTGTATAACAATGCCTGAAATATCTTTAAGGGTGGTGAGCTTTCTCCTTTCAGCCAGTGTATAATACCAATCAAACTAAGGACTCCTTTAGCTAAATTACGAGCAGCATTTGATAGTGTTGGAAGAGCTCTTGTACCGACATAACAATCTCCTTCAACCGTTAAATGCTCAAATCTTACTTCTACGGTTGAAAGTTGAATTCCTACCCTGTTTTAGTAATAATTAGACAATAAAGTTGGTAAGTAGGCAACTGTTACTTTGTTTATTAAATTGCAACCATTGTTGTTCTAGTTTCTAGTCATTCAGATTTTTGAAACTTCATTTTTAGTTGTATGAGAGAGAAAGTTGAAGTTTAATAAAAAACAAGAGAAATTCTTTAAAAATAAGAGAATTGCTTTGTTAAAATAAGAGGAAATATTTGACTTTCTGTATTTTTCTATCTCACACTTAAGTTTATTACATGCCTTATATAGGCTACACAACTACGGAGCTCTAATATACAATGAAAATATAATAAGTCAGACCCAATACACAATATGGGCCTTGTCTATGTTTTCAATACTCCCCCTCAAGTGGGAGTGTGAGGATCCCGAACACCCAACTTGGACAATAACGTCATAAATTGGGCTTCTCCAAGAGCTTTAGTAAACAAATCCGCTAGTTGTGCATGAGTACGAATGTGAGCTGTGGTAATGACACCGGCCACAAGAAGCTCACGAACAAAATGACAGTCAATCTCGATGTGTTTAGTGCGTTCATAAAATACCGGGTTTGCAGCTATATGTAAAGTTGCTTGATTATCGCAAAATAATCGAACAGGTTGTGTATGAAACACACCAAGAACAGCAAGAAAACTCCTTAACCATTTTACCTCCGCACAAGCAAAAGCCATAGACCTATACTCAGCTTCCGCCGAAGATCGTGAAACAGTTGTTTGTTTCTTTGTTTTCCATGAAATGGGGGAATTCCCTAACATAATAAAATAACCTGAAACTGATCGGCGTGAAATTGGGCAGCTTGCCCAATCTGAATCACAATAGGCATAAAGCTGGAGATCACTATCTGCACGGAGGAATAAACCTTGATCTGGACGAGCTTTCAGGTAACGCAAGACCCTAATGGCAGCATCATAATGATCTTGGCGTGGTTCATGCATAAGCTGTGAAAGAATGTGAACCGGGTATGAGATGTCCGAACGAGTCAAGGTAAGATAGATGAGACGTCCGATAAGACGCCGATATAAAACAGGGTCAGAGAAGAAAGGGATAGTTGAAGCTGCAAGCTTGTGATTTTGAGGAAGTGGAGTACTTACAGGTTGTGCTCCAAGAAGACCTGTCTCAGAGAGAATATCCATAGTGTACTTCCTTTGACATAAGAACAATCCTTCGGCAGACCGAGTAAACTCAATACCCAAAAAAAATCTCAACGGACCCAAATCCTTCAACTGAAAACACTTATCCAAGTATTTTTTAAAAGAAGCACAAAATGTGGGATTGTTACCTGCTACTAGGATATCATCAACATAAACTAACACTGAGATACAATCATCCCCTTTTCGAAGGGTGAAAAGAGTATTGTCAGCATGTGATTGTTGAAAACCATACTGACGAAGAGCAGTTTGGTGTTTGGCAAACCAATTTCGAGGAGATTGTCGCAGCCCATACAAAGACTTTTTGAGACGGCATACTCTGTTGGGAGAAGAGGATGAGAACCCGGGAGGCAACTTCATGTAAACCTCCTCATGCAAGTCCCCGTGTAAGAATGCATTATTCACGTCGAGCTGGTGTATCTCCCAATTCTTAGCAACAGCAACAGCAAGAAAAGTATGAACGCTCACCATTTTAGCAACAGGTGCAAAGGTCTCTGTGAAATCCTCTTCTTCCCGTTGCAGATTTCCAAGAACAACGAGACGAGCTTTATCTCGCTCTATTGTTCATTTGGTCTTGTAGACCCATTTACAGCCAATTGGAATTTTTCCTGGAGGTAAGTCACAAATTTCCCAAGTGCCATTCCTCTCCAATGCATCTATTTCCTGTCTCATAGCACCACGCCAACGTGCTTCCCGTGCAGCCTCTTTATATGACCTAGGCTCAACATTAGAAGAAACAGCAGCAACAAAATTTCTATGGTCAGTAAATAAATTCTTATATGTGACATAGTTTGCAATAGGATACCGCATACCTGAGGAAGACATTGGCAGGGTTTTGGAGGAGATGGGGTGTGAAAGACGAGCCGTGTGACATATATAATCAGTCATCCAGAATGGTGGACGACATTCACGCTGTGGGTGACCAGTAGGTTCAGGAGACAATGGAGAGGCGGTACTCGATGAAGAGGTACTTTGTTGAGTAGCATTATCAGAATCTTCTCGCACCACTGAAATCGGGGTAAGAACTGATTGGGATGAGGTAAGTTGTGGTGCAGGAGCACTTGTACTAGAATTGGGTATCAAAGGTTGCTGGCAGCAGCCTGGTCATTGCTCCCCCTTACAACAGGCTGTGAGTGTGGAATGTGGGAATTAGGAGCAACATATTCTATCTGAAACTCCCAGTCACACATCCCAGTAGTTGGAAGTGATGAAGGAGCAGCAAGTGAAGCATCAAGGACTGGGGCAAACGGAAACACATCCTCCTGAAAACAAACATCTCTTGAAACAAACACCTCACTAGTCTCTAAGTCCATTACTTTCCACCCTTTCTTGCCAAAAGGGTATCCAAGGAATACACACTTTCGACTTCTAGAGGAAAATTTATCCTTTTGACGAGGTTTGTTATGAGCATAACAAAGGCATCCAAAAACACGGAGCATGTTATAAGGAGGAGGAGAACTAAAAAGAATATCATATGGAGTTTTACCTTCTAAGATTTTTGTCGGAGTACGATTAATCAAGCTGACTGCGGCATGAACTGATTCACCCCAAAAACGTATGGGAAGTGATGCTTGAAATCGCAAGGCACGAGCAACCTCTAAAATGTGACGGTGTTTCTGCTCCACTCTTCCATTTTGTTGTGGTGTTCCAACACACGACGATTGAAACAATATTCCCTGTTCACCAAAAAATGGTAGCATACATGTAAACTCAGTACCGTTGTCAGAACGGACAATCTTAACAACCCTGCCAAATTGGGTTTTTACCATAGCAAAAAAATTCCTGAAGCATGAGGATACCTCAGTTTTCTCCTTTATCAAATATACCCACACTGCTCGTGAGCAATCATCAACCAAAGTAAGAAAATAATGTGCTCCAGATATAGTAGACTTTGTGTAAGGACCCCATAAATTGCAATGCACAATATCAAATAAATTCTCAGCTTTATTATCACTTAAAGGAAATACAGAATAAGTTTGTTTGGCCTTAAAACATACATCACAATTATCCAAGGCCTTTTTAACCTTGCTACTACGACTAGAACTAGAAATAAATGATAAAGCTTGGCTAGAAGGATGACCAAGACGCTGATGCAGGAGCAAAGTATCATCCAATGTGCTGAGATGCGAGCTAACCTTCTAAGTAACAGGCCGAAACACATACACCCCATTCCTAAGCTCCCCACAGACCAATAGCCATCCTCGTAGTGCGGTCCTGGATGATACACAAACGTTCAGTAAATGTCACAAAACAAGATATATCAAGAATTAATTGACCAATAGAAATCAAATTGCATTTGAGATTGGGAACATATAAAACATTGTGTATGATCAGTTCTGGCATCAATTGCACACTTCCTGTTTTAAGAGCAGAGGTTTGAATTCCATCCGGCAAACTAACCGGCAATGGTGGTAAGTCAACACAATCAAACATTAAATCCAAATTGCTTGTCATATGGTGGGAAGCTCCACTATTAAGTAACCAATCACCTATAACATCAACCTTACCATTTAATTTATCATTGGTGGAAGATGTGTCAAGAAGGGTCAAGAGGCGCTGCATTTGCTCAGCATTGAGCCCTGGAAGGGATGTAACTGATGCTGCGGTTGAGGAGCTACTATTGTTGTTGTCGCCTCGGCGAGGGGTTGATGACATAGCATTATGAGCCACCGCATTAGATGAAGAACCTAGCCCACGACCAGCTTGTCCTCCTCCCCTACCACGGCCCGAGCCACGGCCTCTACCACGACCACGAGAATTAGATGGATAGCCATGAAGTTGATAGCAAAACTGAACTTCATGTCCCTGCCTACCACAATGAGTGCACACCATAGGTGTGATTGCAGGGGGAATAGATTGTTTTGATGGAGTATGGGTAGCTGCCTGCACGGCGAAGCTCATAGCATCGGTTTTGTCATCCCGAGCTCGAATGATATCTTTGTGTCTCTCTTCCTGAGTAGCCAAAGAGAAAGCTTTATTGAGAGTTGGAAAAGGATCCATGCTCAGAATTTGAGTACGAAGAGGACCATACTGCTCATCGTCAAAACCCATCACAAAATCAAGAATCTTCTCTGTTTCAGCCCGAGCACGAAGCTTTGGAGCAGCAGCACAAGTACACCCACAAGTGACATCCTCAGAACCATAAATCAAATCCCACAATTCCTTAAATTTATTGTAATAAGACACAATATTCATGCCTTTTTGGCGAAGAAGATGATATTGGGATTTCAATTGGTTAATTCTAGGTCCATTTACAGTAGAGTATCGTTCTTTCAAATCAACCCACATTTCAATTGCAATTTTAAGAGACACGACAATAGGTTGTATGGACTCAGCAACAGAATTAAATAACCAAGAGCAAATTGTAGAATTATTAGCTTTCCAAGCTGCAAATTCAGGAGATTTGTCATCCTCAGGTTTACCAAAATCACCATTAATAAATCCTGCTTTGTTTCTACCTTCTAAAGCATTGATAATTGCCTTTGACCATACATCGTAATTTTTGCCAGTTAACAAGTATTTTGTGAGGGACATACCTGAATTTTCCGATGGATGCAAATAGTAGAATGATGATGCATCATGAATCAATTGTGGTTTCTTGGTGTTGCTTTCACTTCCAACCATGGCGAAAAAGAGAGGTTGAATAATGAAATCCAATTGAAAAAAAAATAAAAAAGTAGGTGTTTTAGTGGAGGAGTATGAGAAAGCCACGTACACCTACAAAACAAATTAGGAAATTGGTGGATGTAGTGCAGCAACCAAGCAAACCCAAAAATAAAATAAAAATTGATTAGATGATGACGGCTATTGTAGGAAAAAAAAAATTATATAATTGATCTTGCGGAAGAAAGAAAAAGGGATCTTAAAATCCTAGGCTGTGATACCATGTTAAAATAAGAGGAAATATTTGACTGTCTGTATTTTTCTATCTCACACTTAAGTTTATTACATGCCTTATATAGGCTACACAACTACGGAGCCCTAATATACAATGAAAATATAATAAGTCAGACCCAATACACAATATGGGCCTTGTCTATGTTTTCAATATGCTTACTAAATAAGGAGGACGAAGAGAGAATCTGGTGAGGCGAAAATATGGATGTTTCGCACTGCTCGTTGAAATGTTAAGCGGTACTAATGCAGTAATGCGGAGTTGGTACGGTGTCACGGGCCTCACGATCGGGTTTAGTCAGCCCGTGCCTTTTTGTTGGCCTTTTATTGTTGAGCCCGGTCTCATTCACATGAGTCCGGTCTCACACAAAACGTTTTGTTAATTTAAACAAGCTATCACTTCCAACTTGAATAATCAAGATCACTTCTAGACTGAGATCAGAGGGTATATGAGTATATGAGTTAGCCCTTCGTTACTTCTCTTAGATTTCAAGTTACAAATAACATTGTTATATATAATTTCGATATTAGTCATCCTTTTTTTCTACTTTTTTTTTTGACATGATATTATTCATCTAATTATAAATGAAGAACTTGGATATGATTGAACATTGAATAAATCTCCTTTACTAAATCAAATTACGATAGTTGAATTAATTTAACAACTATTGTAATTTATTACTCCATCCGTTACATATTGTATTAAAATTAATTTATAAATTATAACGTACTTCTAATAACTTTTACAATAAAATAATTGATGTATATCTAAAAAAAATTTAAAAATTAGACATACAGTAGTAACACTTAATTTAGTACTTCATGTGTTTTATTATTTGTTCTATTTGTACTTTTTGTACTATTCATTTGATCTATTTTGACAAATGTTTGTTTTTTGCATAAGATAAAATATAATCTTGTAGGAACTTGTTGAAATCGTTTCAACAAATAGATTATTAATTAAGATATAACTAATTAAATAATTGTACCACATAAATGTCAGGGAAAATGGAGCAATTAATAAAATACAAAGGGAGTAGCATATATAATGTGTATCACAAACAAAATTATACGTGTATTCTCTTGAATGGTGGTGTACTAACAACACCCATTATTACAACAATTTATGGTTGGAGGATGTGTATTGCATTTAGCTCCTCCTCGACCAAATGAAAAAAAATTACAAGTATACCACTCAAATTATTTATTTTGGTGTAAACTTTTAGTAAACACACCATAAATTAAAACAACTCAACATTATTAAAACAAATGCATATATAATTAATTAGTATAACAGCTTAATCCCAATTAATTAAGTGGAGCACTTTGAAGCACAATGGTTTCAACAGTAAGGCCAGGACCAAAACCAAACAACACACCCCATTCCAACCCTTCTCCGGTTGTCGATTTGCCCTCCATCGACGATTGTTTCCTCATCTCTTCCAATATGAACATCACACTCGCACCCCACATGTTCCCATACTCGCTTAAGACATGCCTAGTAGTATTCAGTTTGGTCGGCTCAAGTTCGAGTTCAGTTTCAATCTGGTCCAATATAGCTCGACCTCCAGGGTGAGGGATCCAAAACAAGGAGTTCCAGTCTTTGACCCCAATTCTCTCAAAAGATTCAATCAACAAATTTTCGATATTTTTGGATATAAGTTTAGGTATGTCAGGACTAATGTCCCCGACCATACCCTCTTCCCTCAGACGGGCCTGTATAGTCCCGTCTGTACCGGGAATTGTGGTCTGGTCGGCTGACACTGGCCGAAAAATAGGTTTCTCAAGAGGCTCATCAGGGTCAGCACCTACAATCAAAGCCGCAGCACCATCTGCGAATAAGGTGTGCGGTAAAAGATTAGTGTCATCGGGAGCATGGTAAAATATAACAGTACTCAACTCCGCGCATACGACCAAGACACGAGCTCCGCGTTCGTTTTCAGCCATGGACTTTGCTATACGAAGGAGCGTACCGCCAGAGTGGCAGCCACCCTGGAGGAGAACAAAGCGCTTGACGGAAGGCGAGAGGCCGAGGAGCATGGCGAGGTACTGGTCAGCAGCGGGGGTGTCGCAGAAAGTGTTGGTGCCGAAGATAAGGCGAGTGATGTTAGACGTGGGTTGGCCCCAATCGGCGATGGCCTTATCGGCGGCTTCTTTGCCGAGTTTGGGGACTTCACTGGCGAGGATTGCTTGACGGGCTGATAAGGAAGAAGCCTTGCGATCGCACATTTTAGGGTGTTCTTTCAAGGTCTCTTCGGTTACGTGCATGTAACGTTTCCTAATCATTGACTTATCGCCTGCAATTAATATGCAGTAATTAGATATAATTAGTCATGTACAAATTTACCAAAAAGAAAAAGGTCTTATTCTTTACAAGTGGTACGACTATTCGAAGAATACAAGTACAGTATAAGATACATTTAAGCATGTTGTTTCCTAATCATTATCACCTGCAATAATTAGTCGTGATTCTCATGAATAAAATTCAAGCTAGTCAATGGGGTTCCAAAATTGTGGGAATTGGGTACATGGTCACATATCAGATACACTTTTAATGAACCAAAATTATCCTATCTAAATACATTATTTTATCAAAGAAAATATTATACATAGCCCTTAAGGAGTTAGGGCTACATATAAGCATTAAATCTACACTAAAAAATCGTATAAATTTAGGAAATCATAAAAATATAAACACTAATTAATTACACTGATTTGCGCGTGTTTTTGTCATGAATTTCTAATTTTATAAATTTTTCAAGAGTGTATTTTATGCTTATATTTAGCCATTAAAGGTACAAGTAGCATTACCCTTTTTCAATGCATTAAAAATTACATTATTTTTTACTCGTAATACTTTTCATGAAAAATAAGATTTTCTAACTATTTGATGTAGTATTAATTTATTTAACTATAATCAGTAATACACTAGTGCAATCACTTTTATTATTTTCAAAATAATTTTACTGAAGTCTAGCGATTTTTATTTAACAAAAAAAAAGAGGACACACTTAAGCCAAATTCACTTCACCTTTAAAAAAATAATATTTAGTAAAGTAACTTAAGTTTAGTAAAAATAATTTCAATTCAGCAAAAAATTTCAATTCATTAATAATAAGTTCAGTTCAGTAAAACTAATTTCAGTTCATAAAAATCGGTAACTTTAAAAAATAAATATAATAGAAAATCACTAAAACTAATTTTAACTCAGTAAAATTAATTTCAATTAAGTAAAAATAATTGAAGTTCAGCAAAGATAATTCAACAAAAATAATTACACTTCTTAAAAAATGATTTCATTTCAATAACAATAATTAATGTGAGGTGAACAAGGCCTTATCAGTTTATTTGTCATATTAAACCTTATCCCTTATGACTTCGAGATCTCTAGATTGTATACAACCCAATTAGAGAACTAAATTAGAATTGAAGTAGTGTTTTCATTATATATCCTTCCCGTTCACTGTTGCTTCCAGAGGACTTGGCCAACTAAATTAAGTTCAATTAGATCATTCATGTTATCTACAAATAAATAAATTAAAAAGCAACGGGATAGAGTATAAAAGAATAAAAAGCAAATAAGGGCATACACATGCGCTGGTACTTGCTCTTGAGACGGGTTAAATGTTCGCTATTGATAATACGAAAGTAGTACTCAGGATAGTCTGCCTGAATAAACTCATTTGGTGGATTGGCTGTGCCCATAGCCAGGATAGTGGCCGGACCATTTGCTTTTGGAGGCATTGGAATTTCATAAATAGAACCCATTTTCTTAGGTTATATTGAAGCTAGGATTTATAATTAATTAAATGAAAGCTAAGAATTCTTAGATTATATTGATGCTAGGAGTTATGAATTTATATATGGCAACGTAATCATGATTTTTTCCCAAATTGAGCTTTATTGGTAAATTATTTACCAAATTGGTCTCGTGGGAAAAGTATTTCCCAAACTAAGCTTCTGGGGTGAAACGCTGTCTCGGACAGCGTTTAACACCCAGTTTTTTTAAAAAAAAAATTCAAGAAGTAAAACGCTGTCTCAGACAGCGTTTTACCTTGTTGACCTGTTGGTATGTATTTTGGCAAAATATACTAGTATATTTTGCCAAATTATACTGGAATATGTATATGGGCTTTAAAACGCTGCCTGAGGCAGCGTTTTATGTTGAAGCATAAAACGCAGCCTGAGGCAGCGTTTTATTTGAAGCATAAAACGCAGCCTGAGGCAGCGTTTTATGTTAAAGCATAAAACGCTGCCTCAGGCAGCGTTTTTCTGCTAGACTGCATTACCAGCAGCATCTGCTACACTGCATCACCAGCAGTTTCTGCAATCTGCTGCTGCCCCTACACATAACCCTCACCCAACAGCATCAGCTCAGCCCCACCATGAACCACCACCCCCACCACCATCCACCACCATCAACCACCTCCCCCACCACCACCGGCCGCCACTCTCGACCACCCCTATGCAATGTTAAACACCCTAAACAACGCAAGGACATTCCCACCACCCCCATCATTAACCACCACCCCCACCACCATCAACCACCTCCCCCACCACCACCGCCCGCCACTCTCAACCACCCATAAACTACCATAAAACACCCTAAACAACGCAAGAGCAATCCCACCACCAGCCCCAACCTTTCCACCACCATCGACCACCACCGACAACCATCAAACACTGGAAACAACCCCAACAACATGATAACCATCGTGAAACAGCACTTTAAGTGCAGGAGACCAAATATATGCTGCTTGATACATATAACGGATATAAAAGATATAGTTTCACTAACAAAAGTCAAATTCGGACAAATAAGGGAAATAAACTTCAAATTGTACAGAGAGTCATTTAGAAAACATTTCTTGTATTTATAATGTAAGCGTTATATACAACATTGTTAAATATCTGAGTACCACAAAAGGATCAACTAACTAATACTATCCGGACTCATATATTGGAGTTAACTGATCTTCATCCTGTGTGTCCTCCGTCCGTCTACGAACACGCCTCGGACGCCTCGTGTAATGCTGAATGGTGGTGAATGGGTCTCGGGACGGTGGAGAAGTCAGCTGGCGAGACGATGAGTCATCCTGGCTGTGGCCGGGAGCGGTATTATGGATGAAGTAATCCTCTGCCTGTGTAGAGCCCGAAGTATGACCTCCACCACTACTCTGTCCGAAGTCGAACTGTGAATGGAAGGAGTTGGGGTCATGATCGTCCTTGGGGTGGACAAGATGGCCATGGCCATATCTCTGCAAGCTATGTATGCCCATATCTCGCACCCGCTCAACCTGGGCTCTGGTGGGTACGGCTGCTAAGGCATCTGAAAGTGCATCAACCATCGCACCCATATCCCCCGCCTGCAGTAATCATCCATGAATTAGTAATATGATATAGAATTTCAAATAATTTTGGAAAACAAGAAACTGAAAAAACTCACAAGTCCGCTGATAACATCATAAGCTGGATGGTAGTGCGTGGACGGTGGGGTGTAGGTAGGGTTGATGAAAAGGCATGTAATCTGCCTGTACCATACCATGTAAGGATCACGCGGATCCATAACACCCTGAAACAGGTGACCGTCAACGATGGACTCCAACCGCTGGTCCCAAAGCTCAATGAATTGATGATGCTCCAGTGCCCAGTTTGTCTCCAACTTTTCACGACGGTCAATGCCGTGGAGGCGAATACTAGTGTCACAGGGCATGGGGATAGGCTGGTGAGAAATTACCGTCTGCTCCCATATGTCAACACTCTGATGTCTATCCTGCAGTGTAAGGACAGAAGGGTCAAGTGGTCCTGGTATCCGATCGTGTCCGACCATGATATCTGTTCATTCAAAACAATATGGACAAACCAATTAAAAAACAGAATTACTAGTCAATGAAATTGACATGACTGTCACAGGTAAAAGACAAGTACGAAATATAAGTCACCAAATCTCAAATATAATCCAAGCGTTACAAATGTTACATAACGTCATTAATCAACTACTACATGAATCTACTATTCTACTACTATAGCTAAACAATTACAAGCTTATGTTTCGGTTGATCTAGCTGGGCACGTTTTGCGATTGTGACCTTGTTGGTGACAGCGGCTGCATTTAGTCCTAGGTCGGTTAGTGTCATCCATTTCGTTGCGTATGCACTTTGACTTTGGCCGACCTTTTCCTCTTACCATGCTGGCGTCCGGGATGAGTCTAGGTCCTATGTACTGCGTCCAAGTGGTCTCACATGGAATAGGCCAGAACTGTGGTGCATACGTGTTCATATACGCATCCGATTGCAGGAAAGGGTCCACCCACGGCCTCTCGGATAGTGAATAAGTCGCACACACTGCTAGAACATGAGAGCATGGAAGGTGGAATATCAGGGGTTTGTTGCATGTACAGGTTCTCAACTGGAAGTTAACAGTGTGTTCAGTTCACTGTGAACCTCATTCATCAGATCATTCACAGTCATGTTCGGTTCAAGTGTTATAAGTTCCATATTCCCTCCACTGTACTCAACATTTGATCCATCGCACATAATTTCACCTCCCCACCGGCATAACAACACTACATTTTGTGAAGCCATATTCTACATACCAACCAAAACACATTTAAGGATAATCGAATTCTAAAACAACGTCAAAAAACCCTAATTTAACAATACATAACATACATAGCTTTGATAATGGAAAGTTATATCAAATTTCGAGAACCTACATGTGTAGCTAATATGACAACAATGAAACAAGTCCATTCTCATTATCAACATTTTCATCACCAATTTCATAAACTCTTAGTACCGCATACAACTATCAACATACTAATGCCGCATTACCATCAACAATTTTATCATTTTTTTCACAATAATAGACCACATTACCATCAACAATTTCATCAAGAATTTCATCAAAAACAAACCACATTATCATTGACAATTTCATCAACAATTTCGTCGACAATTTAATCAAAAATTTCGTCTATATTTTTCCTCAACAATGTACCACATTATCATCAATAATTATCAACAATTTATCACATTTCATTACTAATTAGCAACAAATTAATACAATTTACATCACAATTTGCTACAACATACAGCAACTATCTACTACCAACTATTCAATGTAAAATTCAACAATGTACTACGAATTTAGGGTTTACCCGGATTTAAAGAGTGAGTGAGACAATGCCGGCAACAACTTCCGTTCACTTTGGCGGCGGCAGGGGCGGCGGCACGGCAGGGGAGGCGTTGGCAACGGTTGTGGTTCTTTGTTGCTGACAATGAGAGTTAGTGAGAGAGAGAGTGTAAATTGCGGGAAAGATATTGAGAAAAAAAGGCCTGGAATTCGTTATAATTCCCGCAAGAAACGCTGCCTGAGGCAGCGTTTAATGTACAGATAAAAACGCTGCCTCAGGCTGCGTTTTATGCTTGTACATTAAACGCTGCCTGAGGCAGCGTTTCATTTAAAGATATTAGTAAACTATTTACGAATATAGACGCGTGGCCAAACTATTTACGAAACTGAGCTTCTGAGGTAAAACGCTGCCTCGGTCAGCGTTTTTCCTCATTTTTATTTATTTAATTTGTTTTGAATTATGTATTTTGTGAAATACAAAATAAAAAATAAAAAAAAAACTGAAATACACAAAGACGCTGCCTCAGTCAGCGTTTTTGTGTTAGGCTATAACAGGCCTTAAAACGCTGACTGAGGCAGCGTTTCATTAATACTAGAAACACGCTGCCTCAGTCAGCGGTTTTGCCTGGTATATTCTTCCAGGCAGACGCAACGCATTCACTCTTCCTCAAAACTAAAAACTCAAACTCACTCTTCCTCACGCAACGCATTCACTCTTCCTCAAAGCTCTGCCGTCGCCGTCGCTGCCGCCCCCGCCTGCTGCCTGCCACCTTCGCCGCCGCCTACTGCCTGCTGCCGCCGCGCCTCTCCTCTTCTTTATAATCACATTTTTGGTACTTCTCACTTATTTGTTTTTAAAATTTTAAAACCTAGGTTAGTTTGATAATTATATAGTACATTGTTTTAATTTGATAATGTTGTTGATTATTCTAAGTTAGTTTGATGTAAATTGATAATTATGTTGATAATTCTAAGTTAGTTTGTTGTAATTTGATAATAGTTTAGTATAAAAGCCCTAAATTGATGTTAGTTTAGTAAGAAAGTTTATGATGAAATTGTGGAAATGTTTGGTAAAAATGTTGAAAATGTTGATGAAATTGTTGATATTGTTGATGAAATTGTTGTTTTAATTTGATAAAATAGCCTACATTGTCGTTTAATTACGAAAATTATGTTATGTAGAATACGTTGGTTGTTAGTGTGAATATGTTCGTTGTGTACTTTGTTTTGGTTCCTATGTGAATTGGAACAATGATGGTTAATTATGTTTGTAGTGTGAATTTCTTGGTTGTTATTGTGCGAATTGGTGGAGATTGCATGCAATTAAGATGTGTTTTTGGTTGTTGTATAGAATATGGCTGCACAAAACGCAGCTTTGTTATGCCGATGGGGGGGGTGAATTTGTGTCTGATAGACCGAATGTCCAGTATAGTGGTGGAAATATGGAAGTATTGCCACTTGGACCAGACATGACTTTCAACGATCTGATGAACGAGGTTCATAGCATTATTGGCTTAAACCGAATGAATGTACAACTTAACATTCAAATGAGGTTTGAGACTAATTATGCGGTTCAAGTGTTACCTTGTTCTAACGATAGACATTTGAAAGCTTTGAGGAGCGCTGTTTTAATG